AAAGCTTTACATTGGCCATATTCCTTTACATTCTTGGACTTAGATTATTTTACGATCTATAGAAGCGAAATTTTATGGCATGCATTTTCAAAAAGCTTTACATTGGCCATTTTCCTTTACATTCTTGGACTTAGAATATTTTACGATATATACTTGATAACTTTTAAGGCATGTATTTTCAAAAAGCTTTACATTGGCCATATTCCTTTACATTCTTGGACTTAGAATATTTCATGAAGCAAAGTTGTGAACTTTTTTTGCAGGCATTTTCAAAAAGCTTTACATTGGCGAAATTCCATTACATTCTTGGACTTAGATTATTTTGCGATTGAAAGTTGTGAACTTTTATAGCATGCATTTTCAAAAAGCTTTACATTGGCCATATTCCTTTACATTCTTGGACTTAGATTATTTAACGATCTATAGAAGTGAAATTTTATGGCATGCATTTTCAAAAAGCTTTACATTGGCCATTTTCCTTTACATTCTTGGACTTAGAATATTTTACGATATATACTTGATAACTTTTAAGGCATGTATTTTCAAAAAGCTTTACATTGGCCATATTCCTTTACATTCTTGGACTTAGAATATTTCATGAAGCAAAGTTGTGAACTTTTTATGCAGGCATTTTCAAAAAGCTTTACATTGGCAAAATTCCATTACATTCTTGGACTTAGATTATTTTGCGATTGAAAGTTGTGAACTTTAATAGCATGCATTTTCAAAAAGCTTTACATTGGCCATATTCCTTTACATTCTTGGACTTAGATTATTTTACGATCTATAGAAGTGAAATTTTACAGCATGCATTTTTAAAAAGCTTTACATTGGCCATATTCCTTTACATTCTTGGACTTAGATTATTTTACGATCTATAGAAGTGAAATTTTATGGCATGCATTTTCAAAAAGCTTTACATTGGCGAAATTCCATTACATTCTTGGATTTCGATTATTTTGCGATTTAAAGTTGTGAACTTTTATAGCATGCATTTTCAAAAAGCTTTACATTGGCCATATTCCTTTACATTCTTGGACTTAGATTATTTTACGATCTATAGAAGTGAAATTTTACAGCATGCATTTTTAAAAAGCTTTACATTGGCCATATTCCTTTACATTCTTGGACTTAGATTATTTTACGATCTATAGAAGTGAAATTTTATGGCATGCATTTTCAAAAAGCTTTACATTGGCGAAATTCCATTACATTCTTGGATTTCGATTATTTTGCGATTTTAAGTTGTGAACTTTTATAGCATGCATTTTCAAAAAGCTTTACATTCTTGGACTTAGATTATTTTACGATGTAAACCTCGACTTATGTTCTTTCCCTTACATGTACCAGGGGCGGATCCAGGAACCAACAAGGGGGGGGGGCCAAATTTCAGGTCAGATAAAAAAACGTCCGCGCTTGCGCGGAAAAAAATTTTGGGCCCCTAAAATCCAAAAGTGGGCCCAAATTTTGAAATTTTGAGGCCCATTTTCTTCAAAATTTGGCCTGAAATTAAAAAATAAGGCCTTCAAAGGCCCAGTAATGACCAAAAAGGCCCACTTTTTGGGGCCTGAAGGCCTTGTTTGGCTCAAAAAAATTTTTGGGCCCAATTTTTTTTTTCTGGGCCCACCCAAGGGGGGGGGGCCCGGGCCCCCAGGCCCCCCCCCCCTAATCCGCCAGTATGTACCTACGTGTACTTCTGAGTAATTTGAAATTAACAATCAAATCAACAAATATTCACATATCATATTAGCAGATGTCAGGCGAAATTACAATAAGATATTCTTCTTCTTCCTTTATAAGATATTCTGATCGATAGAGTATTTGGTTATAAAACCGGAAGTGTTTTCTCTGAGGTCGGCGCGTCAAATTCCATACATGTATTCTACTTTGGATATAAGTATTGGCGGGTGCATCCTCTCGATTAATATCTATCATTGGGTGCTTTCAACACCATATTTTTCTAATGTTATCGCAAAATAGTTCATAAAATGAAGGAAATGTTTCAAAGTTAAGAATTTTGATCGGCATTTACCAAAAGAGCTTCTGCGCATGAGTTCTGCGCATGTCAAAAGCCCGTCAAACTTTCTCATTTCTTTTAACATTTCTCGCCTTTTACACGACTTTCCCACCTGGAATCATGATCTATCATCAAATTGAAAATATAAGGTATAACTTTAGATCGATTTTCAACCATCTCTTGTGAAAGTATTTAAGATGATCGGGGAAAACAATCCCATCTATTTGAGGGGCTCTGTTGGGAATTTCTTCAATCACTTTCAATACTATTGTCTATGCAAGTTCATTTCTTTATATTAGCGATCTTTACTGTATTCTCTCCAATGACATATGGTTTTTACAATTCTACATGTACTGTACGTCGTGAAAGAACAGAATCCAACAAATACCAAATAATCTATAAGTCAAAATAAGTAAAGGAAAGGGGACACTGTAAAGCGTGGAAATACATGTACAGCATTCTATGAGAGTTCACAACTAAATCGTAAAATGAGCTAAATCCAGGAATGTAAAGGAATTTGGCCAATGTAAAGCTTTTTGAAAATACATTTCATAATAGTTTACAACTTTAAATCTTGAAATAATCTAAGTCCAAAAATGTAATGGAATATGGCCAATGTAAAGCTTTTTGAAAATGGATGCCATAAAATTTCACTTCTATAGATCGTAAAATATTCCAAGTCCAAGAATGTAAAGGAATATGGCCAATGTAAAGCTTTTTGAAAATGCCTGCTATAAAAGTTCACAAGTTTACATCGTAAAATAATCTAAGTCCAAGAATGTAATGGAATATGGCCAATGTAAAGCTTTTTGAAAATGCATACTATAAAAGTTCACAACTTTCAATTTCAAAATAATCTAAGTCCAAGAATGTAAAGGAAAATGGCCAATGTAAAGCTTTTTGAAAATGCATGCCATAAAATTTCACTTCTATAGATCGTTAAATAATCTAAGTCCAAGAATGTAAAGGAATATGGCCAATGTAAAGCTTTTTGAAAATGCATGCTATAAAAGTTCACAACTTTCAATCGCAAAATAATCTAAGTCCAAGAATGTAATGGCATTTCGCCAATGTAAAGCTTTTTGAAAATACCTGCAAAAAAAGTTCACAACTTTGCTTCGTGAAATATTCTAAGTCCAAGAATGTAAAGGAATATGGCCAATGTAAAGCTTTTTGAAAATACATGCCTTAAAAGTTATCAAGTATATATCGTAAAATATTCTAAGTCCAAGAATGTAAAGGAAAATGGCCAATGTAAAGCTTTTTGAAAATGCATGCCATAAAATTTCACTTCTATAGATCGTTAAATAATCTAAGTCTAAGAATGTAAAGGAATATGGCCGATGTAAAGCTTTTTGAAAATGCATGCTATAAAAGTTCACAACTTTCAATCGCAAAATAATCTAAGTCCAAGAATGTAATGGAATTTCGCCAATGTAAAGCTTTTTGAAAATGCCTGCAAAAAAAGTTCACAACTTTGCTTCATGAAATATTCTAAGTCCAAGAATGTAAAGGAATATGGCCAATGTAAAGCTTTTTGAAAATACATGCCTTAAAAGTTATCAAGTATATATCGTAAAATATTCTAAGTCCAAGAATGTAAAGGAAAATGGCCAATGTAAAGCTTTTTGAAAATGCATGCCATAAAATTTCGCTTCTATAGATCGTAAAATAATCTAAGTCCAAGAATGTAAAGGAATATGGCCAATGTAAAGCTTTTTGAAAATGCATGCTATAGAATTTCACAACTTTCAATTGCAAAATAATCTAAGTCCAAGAATGTAATGGAATTTCGCCCATGTAAAGCTTTTTGAAAATGCCTGCATAAAAAGTTCACAACTTTGCTTCGTGAAATATTCTAAGTCCAAGAATGTAAAGGAATATGGCCAATGTAAAGCTTTTTGAAAATGCCTGCATAAAAAGTTCATGTCTTTGGTTCGTGAAATATTCTAAGTCCAAGAATGTAAAGGAAAATGGCCAATGTAAAGCTTTTTGAAAATACATGCCTTAAAAGTTATCATGTACATGTATAAATCGTAAAATAATCTAAGTCCAAGAATGTAAAGGAATATGGCCAATGTAAAGCTTTTTGAAAATGTATGCCATAAAACTTCACTTCTATAGATCGTAAAATAATCTAAGTCCGAGAATGTAAAGAAATATGGCCAATGTAAAGCTTTTTAAAAATGCATGCTGTAAAATTTCACTTCTATAGATCGTAAAATAATCTAAGTCCAAGAATGTAAAGGAATATGGCCAATGTAAAGCTTTTTGAAAATCCATGCCATAAATGTTCACAACTTTCAATCGCAAAATAATCTAAGTCCAAGAATGTAATGGAATTTCGCCAATGTAAAGCTTTTTGAAAATAAATGCCTTAAAAGTTTAAAAGTTCAGTAAGTGGGATGTTTTTAAATTTCTCAACTCGTCATTGTAAAGAAAAAAAGCTTTACTTCAAAATGACATAAATTTTTGTCCCTAAATCTTTGTATATTTCAGATTTTTTAGTTTTTTGTGCAATAAGCCTGTGCCGTCTTGTAATTTGAAGAATTTCAGCCATGTTAATCTTATTGAAAATAACATGGCAGAGAAACATCCAAATATAAGAGGCCACACACTTTATAAGCCAAACTAGAAGCAATCCAAGATATAAAAATGTCATTCATGTACATTATGAATATACTTTTCCATATATTATTGCACAATGGTTTCCCAATTTCTTATTTTTGCCGTTCTACTGACGAAATGAAGCAGTGAAATGGACTCTAGTTCAACGTCGTTCAACAATAACGGCGTTCTTTACTATTAGGAATTTTCTTAGACATGTCAGATAAGCAACGAGGCCCAGGCTAGGTCTAATGTTGTTGGACTAAGCCTAGCCTAGCCTAAGAAAAAATAAATAAATATTGAATTTTGGACCCTTCAATTTTCATTGATAATTTTGAGATGTGATGACCAGATAATGAAAATATAAACTACTTACAGTAATATGATACAACTTGATCTCGTTTATCATATTCAGTAGCAAGCTTCAAGTAGTGATTGATAGCTTTGAGGCTTGGAGGAACTGCTCCTGGCATTTTCAGTTTTTGTGGAAAATATTTTGGTAAGTTGATGGATCAAAAGTTGAGACTGGTTAGAAAAATTATTTCCTTTAACTTTTGCCATTTCTAATCACATTCCATAAGATACATCTGGTCTTTTTTGATTATTTGATTCAACCTTTTGCTCTCGAGGAATATATTCTCACTTGAAATAAATAAATCACAGTGCCATATTCTAGTTTGAACAGGGATTTTCACAGTGTATTGAGGTCACCACCAGGTGTCACTGTTCAGCAGGAAGTTGGTGCAAAATACAAAAGCCGGTGAATTTATTAACATTGTTAGAGATTATTCAGCATAAATCTTAATTTTGAAATGGGAGAACCAGAAGCCAAGGTTGCCAAGATGTCCAGTGCTTTGGAGCAGTTGAAATCAAAAACAATTGTAGTAGCTGACACCGGAGATTTTGAAGGTAAATATTTGTTTTATTTTTCTCTAAAGAAAGTCATCATGACAATGTGTTTTGTTCCAGAGCCTAATGATAGGACAAAATTGTTCATTCTAAAGAAAATATACGACTAACCTTGGGACATTACGCTTTTTTAATAAATTGTCATAATGAATAAGATTCAACATGCAGGAGCTATCTGGTAAACCACAATCACCAATCAATCGAGATCCAGTCCCGGGGATTCAGTGTGGATCCAGTCAATTGCAATTCCTTTCAATCGAGGGACTTTGTTCTTTAGATTAGCCTAATCTATGTGTTTCTCTTAAATGATGGTTTATCTGCCATGTTTGACAAAACAGAAATGAAACTCTTAGGAAAAATTGCATAAAAAATGTTTTGGATATCCTGCCACAAGACTCTATCGTTTGTCATGAATATACTATTGGACTTAAAGTGGATTAGTGACTGTTTTGATAAAATTTTAGCTTTGTGTCAACTTCATGTAATGACAACGTTTCTCAACCTCAAGGTTTCAATACACAAGTAGTTAGGGTAGGGTAACTGTTGCCCATGCTTTTACAATCTTGTATGAGGTATACCTTACACACTAAAATAACAACAACTCAAAACATCCATGAACTCCTAATGAACTCTTCCTTAAATGCATCTTCTACATGTGTATTCCCCTGAACTACCACGTTCATGTATGTTCCCTACAATAAGAGGAATAACCAAGATAGTAGGTAGATTCCTTCCAAGGCCTCTTCTAGAATGTGTTTATAGGGGCAGTGATCTCTCAAGTATCTCTGAAAGCAAGTGGACGCAGCGCTGCACCCATGTGAGATCTTAAAGACAGGTTTGCACTTTGCACCCACCTGAAAATCCATTTGCACCCACTTGAGATTGAGAAAAATCATGAAAAAAATGAGCATATTTTGACTCATTTTGGTCTGAATTGTGAAAATGAGAACTACATGTACACGTACATGTACTTGAGAAAAAATCCTAATGTATCTACATTTTGGTTCTTTTACAGCCATGAAGAAGTACAAGCCAACTGATGCGACCACCAATCCATCACTGATCTTGGCTGCATCTAAGATGGAGCAATATCAGCCTCTTGTGGATCAGGCAATCGCATATGCTAAAGCCAATGGAACAAGCATTGATGAGCAAGTTGAACTAGCAAGTGACAGGTTGTTTGTGTTGTTTGGGACGGAGATACTTAAACTTATACCTGGTAGAGTTTCTACTGAAGTAGATGCAAGGTGAGTTTCAATCATCCCAATTTCCCCCCACTTTTACCATCACTTTTTCTAATAATCGCTTATTCTGTCTGTCACTTAACCATAGTTTGTGTAAATTGAATTATATTTTTAAGATTTTAATGAAAGCTCTTCAAAACACTTGTGATCAGGATCACAATCAATTTTACACATTGTCAATCTAATAATCAGTTTAATTTGAAAAAATATATATATAATTTTCTCTATATTGTTTTAGAAAACACATCAGACACTTCTTTTGTTTTTGGTATCAATGAAATATCTATCCATCCTCATTGGAACAAAATGACATAAACACGTCTGTAGGTCTATAAATATTGTAATTGACAAAGTAAAGTTGATTTAATCTTGTTAATCAAATAAAAGGTTTACTTTAATTTTTATCTATTTATAGGTGTTTTTTTTTTAATTTTTTAATACTTTTTGTTAAATCAACTAAATTTTCATATCAAAAAATCGAAAATTGTTAACAAAAACAGTTATAAAAAAAATATATTTTCCGATTAAATTGTTGTCATTCAGTGACCATTACATAAAGGACCGTGCTTTTTACAGAATGTTTTCAATAATTGGCTTAAGAGAAAGACAATGTTTAATTCAGTTCGCCATATTGATACCAATCCTTGTGAAAAAAACGAAAAGTTAAAATGTTGCTCAGTGTTCAACAGAAATCTCCTTCAAAGTTTGTAAATTTACAATTTTGCTGCCAGTTCAGAAATGACTCTCAACTACTAGAACAATAAATGTATAAATTGTTTGGTTTCTACTTTCTAGGTTATCATTTGATGTAGGTGGTTCAATTGCTAAAGGTCGCCAGTTCATTAAGATGTACGAAGAAGCAGGAATACCAAGAGAAAGGATTCTAATTAAACTCAGTACCACCTGGGAGGGAATTCAAGCTGCAAAGTAAATTTTACATACATTTTATATGTGACTTGCACATCATTCACATGTAGAAATAATGGATACGTTTTTATTGCTTACCTAGATTCTGAAATTGGTGGACCACATTGGTAGAAAATATACATTCATAGAATCAGTTGTTCTAGCAGAGTGATCACAAAATAATTGCCAAGGGTGTTTGAATATTTTGTTGTTTGTATGTGTTGTTATGACATATAAATGTACATATAATGTAAAATGTGTTGCAACATGTAGTGAAATGTAATATGAATGCAATGATCTCCTCAGGATTTTTCTTCGGGTGGGTGCAAAATTCTCATTGGTCAAAATATGCCAATTTTTCATGATTTTTCTCATTTTCAAGTGAGTGCAAATGGATTTTCAGGTGGGTGCAAGCCTTTTTTCAAAATCTTAGGGGGATGCTGCGCCCACTTGCTTTAATGCTGGGGAGATCACTGAAATGTGTTGTACATATTGTGTGTTGTAACATTTATTGTATTGTAACATACAGTGTGTTGGCACTAATATTGTGTTGTCTTATCATAAAATGTGTTGTTTTACAGGGTGCTTGAGGCGGAAGGCATTCACTGCAATATGACACTTCTGTTTTCCTTTGCACAGGTAAGGAGTCTTGTACATGTACATCAATCCTGCACATCTATAAGTGCAGTAACTGCCAAAACATTGCCCAAAATGAATCAACATTCTCTAAATAACTACCAGGCCAGTCAATTTTTAGTTTAATTCTAGGTTTAATTAAATATGATTTTAGAGATTAATTAATCAATACCTTTATCATGCAATGTCATATTTATTGCATAAAGCCCTGCTTAGTGCAAGAGACCTCCATTTGAAACATGAACACTTTGTTTCATTTACAAGTATATTAACTCATTGACTGGTTGCAGGCAGTATGCTGTGCTGAAGCAGGCGTTACTCTGATCTCACCATTCGTGGGACGCATCTATGATTTCTTCGTCAAGGCAACAGGACAGAAAACATTTGAACCATTAGATGATCCAGGTTGGTGGTTATTACATAAAACTGTACTGTAAAAGCTGTCTTAGTGAACACCTCTCTCTAGTGGACACCTACCAACATTGAAGGTTTTTCAATGTTATATTTATCATTTCCAGGTGTTAAAAGTGTAACCAAGATCTACAACTACTACAAGAAGTTTGACTACAAGACTGTTGTGATGGGGGCCTCTTTCAGAAACACTGACCAAATCAAAGCCCTGTGTGGTTGTGATCTTCTTACCATTTCGTAAGTTTTTATACAATTTCTAAATAGTGTTGGTACAAAGCTTGAGATTATGAATATTTATTGATGTCGAACTCAACAAAATTGGCACATAATGAGGCATGTTCAAGGTGTTCTCACTTTTTTATAAGGATGAATTTTGATTTCAGATATGAACGAAATTAGAAAATGGTTTAAAAAGCTGTCTTATATTTGATTGCAAAATAAAGTTTTACAAGATATTGCTTATCCTGGTAAAGTGACCCTTTGACAATTTTTCATATTTCAGTCCTGGTCTACTGGAGGAACTATCCCAGTCTAACGTGACAGTGCCTATGCAACTTTCTCAGGAAGCAGGTACGCTACATTGCTTATTACGGCTACATCAGTACAGTACTCTAACACTCCTGTTGTAGTGTGTTGGTTGGTTAAGACCACTGATCTTGCTCTAAGCCACTTAAGGATCCATGGTATTACCTGGTATATGTGTATCGCTGTATTTTAAGGAGTTCATACCGGATCAAAATATCTTTTTTGAAATCCTTTTATTAATCACGAATGATCTCAATATTATCAACTGATGAAATTTTAGCTTTGAATATTAAAAATTATTATCTTCAAAATTCATTAGACAATCCTTACTATAACTGTATGTTACTGCAATCCAGTATAACTTGTCTAATCCAAACACCATAGGAACTGGCCGAAAGTGTTTCTCTTGGCAGGTATTCACATTTCAAGGCTTTTTAATGTGGAGGTTTAAAGCAATTTTTGCAAGGTTTGGACCCAGGACTGAAATAAGCATTCACATTCGCAATGAGATATGTTAAATTTATAGTGGTGTTTCGTTGTTAAATTTGACGTGTTATAGAAGTTTTACTGTTATTTTAATTTTGTTGATATTTCAGCCAAAAGTCTCGATCTGGAGAAGATCTCTCTGACTGAGAAGCAATACAGATGGATGCTCAATGAAGATGAAATGGCCGTCAACAAACTTTCAGAGGGAATCAGGAAATTTGCAATCGATGCTGTAAAACTAGAGAATATGATTCGCGAAAAACTAGCTTAAGATCTAGTAGCATAAATACTCATTACCAAATACTTACCTGTTAACCTTTGGGACTCAAAAATTCATGTTGGTGAGAGGTAGGGAAAAACAGTGCTAAAACCAGTGACTATTTTCTTTTAGTTTTCTTAGGCCAGGGGAAATAGACTATAAGTTTGTCATGTTTAATGTAACTACTGTAAAAGTAAAACCCATGTGTTCAAAGTGCAAAATACATGTAAACCATATTTGAGACAGAAACGGATGTTTTTTTGCACAATCAGTCAAGTTTTAACTGCCATAAGATGAGAAAAAAGTCTAGGTCTTTCCAACAAAATATAAAACTAATCATATAATTTATTTTCCCTGGTCTGAGGATATTTTTTGAAAGATTGTAATGTATGTCAATGATCCAATAATGTGTTCAAATCAAATGCCAAATTTAGGTTTTCATACACATTCATAACCATTTGTTATTGAATTGCAGAATTATAGACACTTAAGGTTAGAATGTTCTAGGAATTTCATATTATATACAAATGTTAGATTTCCATATGCATTCAAGTATATGCTTACATACCTCATTATTTTACATGATATAGAGACAGAATTGTTTATGTGTATGAACCATAAACTATCCATATATTTATGACAACTTAAATAATGATGATAGTCTATTTTTGTTGATTGATTCCTGCATGGGTTTTGTAATTTTGTACTAAAATGCCTTTACAGTGAAATAGATAAATAGACCCAAAAATAGCTTTAACATACAATTATGTAATTACGCAGGCCCGTAGCCAGGGGTGTTCGATGGGTTCAAAATCGTGCAGTTTTTCACCATTCTGAGCACTTTTTATGTGATTTTGGTCATTTTTGGACCAAAATTGTCACGAGTGAACCTCCCTGGAATTTTTCAAAAAGTGAACTCCCCCTTGGCAAATCCTGGCTACGGGCCTGTTACTTGACATGTAATAAATAACATTTTTCCCTGTGTCAAGTTGTAAGGAGGAAATATAATACAGTAGTGTTGTAACACACTTTGCGTCCTATGCAACATGTATGAATGGTAAACAGCATGAGATGTTTCTGTGCACATATGACATAGATAATGTTAATTCTTTATATTTGAAGATCTCTTTTAAATTATGACATGAAATTGTGATTTTTTCATTGTAGCATATTTTGCAAGAAACAATCAGATAGGTGCCAATTGTGTGTTAATTAATAATGTTATAGTAATAATGTTCGAAGTCATAATAACTCGATTTACTTAGAGTTGGAACACACACTTTCAGTGTAAATAAATTATTTTTTAACAGAAGAAATGATTTGTTTTGTGTTGTGTTGTGTTGTGTTGTGTTGAAGACCACAAAAATGTGTTTGGTGAACTCTTTTTAAAGGGTGCAATGGAGACAGTGGTGTACTTATGTATATATAGAGGATATCCTATGATTTTTGAGGGATACCATTTTTATCCATGAGTGGATATCGCTCATCTCCACGAGTGAGCGCAGCGATGGTCGCTATTTTTGTATGGTCTTCAAATAATTTGACCTAAAGTTGTTTTCTAATTCTGTTCTATTTTTCATTTTATTTTCTGTGACCTTATTTCTATAAAATGATTGCATGAAAAAATTTAACTCATTTTTACTGAGCATATAAGCTTGGAACTTTTCAATTTTTTTATTCCTATAATTTTATTTTCAAATTGTTTTTCAGATTAATTTTCAATTTTTTATCAATTTTTTTTCAAAATTTCAAATTTTTCAAATATTTTTTTTCAAAATATTTTTTGAAATTGTATCCGTCGGATACGATTTTCACGTCATATGGATCGGCTACGATTTTAGTGGCGTATACGAAAATTATCTTGTGTTGGTATCCCCATATATATTTAGTATCCATCGGATAAATATATATACTTATGTACTTACAAGTACTTATGTACAGCATCCATGACTGAAAAGAGAACACTGGAGGTCTGTTCCCAGTCATGGAGATTAACATCACACTAGTGTGTATAATCGTGCATTAGAATACCTCCTTTGTATGGCTAAGCTGTCAAAGCCAATTAACCATCACAACTCCAATAAGACACTTTAAGACTTGATGTTTACATTATGGAGGCAAAAAGCCAAAACCATTTCCTTCAGATAATACTACCAACATACAAACATGATTTAATAACAAATGTCTTTCAGGTCAAACTTACAACATCCGGAATAGCGCATCTTTTTTACAATATATCGTCTGTCTATCTGGGGCATAAAAAGTAAAAACAAACCAAATGTGATTAATTTTTTAAAAACATTATTTATATTGCAATTATGTTTCATTTACATAGATATAATACAGAAATAACAAGATAAGCTATGCTTGTATTCTAAACAGATATTGTAAGGAACGTTACGTCTACTTTCCAAAAGTGAGCCTAATCTTACAATAGAGAGATTCTGCAGGGCTCATTTATAACTCACTCTAAATATGCTGAATTAAAAAAAAGATAATAGGGAGGTTTCTTTAACTTATTATAATTATTACTATGATATATACATATACTTGTCCATGTTTAAGAAAAAGTAAGTATTATAATTGTTTCTCCATTATCTTTCTAAATAATCTTAAGGTATAAGTGAGAAATAAATGAGTTTGCAAAAGTTCTATTAATATCACCGTCATACAATAATACACTTTAATAATAACACGACTAAGGTAGATAGAGTAGGATGGTTTTACATCAGTAATAACAAGTCTACATGTAATAGACCCGACTTAATACTCTTTCTACTTAGCCTACCTTAAAGGTAGAGTCCGACAGATTTTCACTCCAAACCATATTATCGTCTTCTCTGATCATCCATTAGTTATCAGTTAGAGCAGGATAATTTGCTTCATAACAAAGTAATAAGATAGTAAGCAATGAATGATTCTACCTTTAAGGTACATGTACTAATAGAGAGTTCTTCATTACAAAGCTCATTTGTCAAAATACTTCACAACAAACAAAGCAATTTGCTGGGTAACCCCAACCAAGATAGTTGCTTTGTTTATTACGAAGTATTTTGAGGTGTTGCACAAAATCCTTCATTACGAAGCTTTTTTGTCAAAATACTTTCTGATGAAGCAATTTAACTCTTGTGTAATGGGGACCATTGTCTATTTGAATACCTCTCCCTTTGACTGGACCCTCAGTCATACATCAACAGTCTTGGTTTAGAATAGAGGTGTACAACTTAAACTGTTCACCTCTAGATGGGTCAATAACATCCAAATTTCCTCATTTAAAGAGGGAAGGAATGGTTCAGGATAATAAAGCCATGACATTTAATGGTCTACTAAGGGATTCTATCAATATATTAATTTACAATTAAAATTAAAGTAATTAATAATTATGTAAAGGGGTTGGGGTAAAAGGCAATTTTTGTTATCTTGATTAATCAAAATATGTTGGTGATAAAGGATACTAAAATCTGTATATCAATATAAGGATAGCTTTGTGTACAACGAGAATCTTAATGTCAGTGGTACACGTTGACACTAAAAACGTTCCATTTGTCTGTCGTTAATAAAAAACCAAAATGGCCCCATCTTTTGTGTAAATCTTCCCTTTGACATTGCACAATTACAAAAAATCAGTTTTACCATCAATGACATTTTTAGGGTTGGAAAGGGGTCAACTTAAAGCATTGTCATTTCCATTTTAATAGTACATCGCTGTATTGATAGGTTCCCAAAGCTGCATACAGTATCTATACATCATATTGCCTATCTACACTCTTACATACAACACCATAACGACAGTGTATTGCTTGCTACCATGGCGATTTGAGATTGCCTGGAAATCTATTGCAAAATTATCTCAAATAATTAGGCTTTAGTGTATCCTCTTGAATTTATCTTAAACTATAAAATGAATTTAATTCATGTTGGCTTTATAGAAAATAAATTCTGGTTCTTCAATACTATTGTCTGTTTTGCCAGAAATGTGTGCTTTTAAACATATTGTACTTAAAATTCTGTAGAATCTGTTGTACAAAAATGCTTTATTCTTGACAAAATGATGCTCAACATTGAATTTAATTACTCCAGGCTCTGTTCATATATCAATTTTAACTTATATAAAAAACTGCATCGAATGACACGCATGTAACTATTTAATTCTAATATCTCTGATACACCGAATGAGTTGCATCATATAACAAAATCTAAGCATTTTCACATTTTCAATCAATTCCAACAATAGGGTTTCACACAAATTAACATACTTCAAAAATGATCTATTTTACATTTTGTGACAATACTATAGTTTGTATTAATAACAATTAGATGATATGTTAATGCATACATATACAGCGAGACTTGTAGAAAATATGATACAGCAACATTTAGATCAAGCGATTTCCTAGTACCGTTTTTAGAAGTTCATTTTGGTAGAGCACAATTAATAATCAATAATACTTTGATCACTCATATCTCAAACTGATACACGCCCACCCCTCTTTAATTCACTGATTCTGAGTTAGGTTATGGAATCATTATAAAGTTACATAAATGACAAGTCCATCAAATGTAACATATGCATTGATTCTCCAAGAAGGAGAATCTTCCCTATTTTCATTACCATTTTGCATTTTGTTTCCAATTCCCAAAACATTTTGAACCGTTGTATTTTCATTAAAAAATGGGATTCCTGACCCCCACTCCCCACCCCAACCCCTCCTTTATATTTCAGGTGAGATTGCTGAAATACAGTCCAGTTGGGTTATTTTTTGTGTTCTAGCATTAGAATCCACTCACGATTCATCTCCAGCTTACATTTAGCATTTAGTAATATAATACATTATGTACAATATTAACATTACTCTTTAACATGAAGAAATGTACACCTCACATTATGTACAAATACACTAATTTAGGAAAGATTCACAGTTTTTGTAAGTGTAATGTTATTTTCTCCAGCTGTTTTGTTCAAAAAATTAATATCAATTCAGTTTTGAAATAATAGAATATGCAAAATAAGATATTGTAAATTGCTCAATTAAAATTTAATGACATGACATTGAACAAATCTAAAATCCATGAGACACCAAATATTTAATGCTGGATAATGTATGAAACACCCAATAGAAGATTCAGGAACTTTCCTTTGGAGAGCTCTCATGAATTGAGCAACATGTTTATGAGAAAACCTAATTAATCAAAGTACTGTGAGTAATGAAATATATATTTTAATAGTTAAATCTTACTGTACAAAAATGTTTGAGAAAGTACAAATGTACAATATCATGAATCTCATTTGCTTTATCAATATGTAACAGAATGCAGGCCTGTCAACTTGGGAAAAATTTCGAACGGAATGCGTGACATATACGTAATTCGCGTGAAAAGTCCGAACGAAATGCGTACATTTTTTTTCTGGCGTTCGTATTTTTGCTGTGTAGACGATCTTTTTTAAAAAAATTCTACAGAAATATTTTTGCTTGACAATTACCAGGTAAAATGCGTATTTGCGTGACATTTTCTGTCACGCAAAAATAACTGGCGTGACTTCAAATTCTTCAGCAAATGCGTGACAAATACGCAAATTGCGGGACAGTTGACAGGCCTGAGAATGCATAACAGTAGAACCTGTCAATTTGAACACCTCTCTGAGTGAACACTTCTCAGCATTTCTCTTTCTTACAAAACATTCATATATAACATTTAAACTTTTCAATGTGAAAATAAATCTCACAAGAATGCCCTTTCCATTTTTTTTAAAAATGTGATCACAAAAATTTATGAAAACGTTGACCATCCATTACAGACAGCAGTTAATTCATTGAGATTTTGACATTTAAGCTGGTTTCTAATTATAAGTCTGTCTATCTAGATATTATATAGGTATACACTTAGTCTAGAAGTCATTTGCTAATTCAATCATACAATCATAATCCAAAATATTGCACTGATTACTTTAAATCACACGCTGCTGTACACCCAATCCTATACTACAGTGTACTGTAGTATATTGTACTACAATGCCTTACATTGTCATTGCACTGCAATGCGTAATAGAATACATGTATTTTACTAATATAGTGCATTACATTGTCATTGCACTGCAATGCATTATAGAGTATTGTACTACTACAGTGCATTACATTGTCAAAATGTCATGTACTGCACTGTATTGTGTGTTGCATTTGCATTATCAGTGTATTGCAATGCACTGTACTGTATTATAATATTGTGCACTTTATTGTATTGTACTGTAATGTACTATACTGTGATTTAGTGTACTGCATTACACTGTACTATACAAGTACAATACAGTACTGCACTGCAGTATACTTTACTGTACCACTTTGTATATTGTACCATATTGTCATTAAATACAATGATTTCACAACGTACAATGCCTTAATACAAGACAACCCTTCCATCAATTTACATTGCAATATTTTCTCACCATACACGTATTGCATTACATACTGCATTTTAATTTTAAAAGTCTTTTTGGATCTGATTCACTTATGGGCATATTTCTGATGTGTACTGTACACCTCTCTAATGTGAATGCCATTCTAGTGTAAACACCTCTCTAGTGTAAACACCTTTCTATGTGAAAGGTAAACACTTTGGTCTTTTTCTTGACATAATAATGTGTGAATTAATATAGTAATATATCACTTTGTATTGTAGCAGAAACTTGTCATCGGCATTCACAAGAGGAAGGTTTACAAAATCATTACCACTCAGGGTCATTATTTACATTCACATTCAACCAAGTAAACATTTTATACTAGACCCCTCTCACAGACTTTACTGTCTCTTATGGAATAAAATGAATAAACATGTACACCACAAAGACCAGATGAATTTCCTTTTAGCCCCAATTTCTCAGTATTTTTATGTTGATATGCACAGCATCATAAAAATTGCCACACCCTGTCTGCTATATAACTTGGTTGCATACATCTACATGTCTTGCAGTTCTTTCTTCTCCTTTATGTGTGCTAATCTCTGAGAGAAGTTTCTTCAGTGCATTGTACCTGACCATTGGCTCACAACAAGGACAACTGTTACAATGGAGCGCGTCATTTTGTTCATTACTGTCACACATAAGTTTACGAACATCTTGTTCATTTCTGTAACATCCTAGTTTTTGAACATTTGTTCCATTCTATCGCACAGATTAGTTCATGAACACTTTCTCCATTTCTGTCACATAGATCACTTGTCGATCACTTTGATCACTTTTGTCTCATTAAGTTCTTTCATCCCAATTGCCCCCAATGGGTGACTGCATATATTATAATGATCCGAGTGGACTCACATAATATAAGACCATAAAACAGAGCATAAACTTGGTTACTTTAGCATGGTGGCTTCCTGATCCTACTCCCCTCTGCTGCCTGGTGGAGAGTGGATCTGGAATGTATGTTTTATGTAAGATAAATAGGAATGTCATCAATGGCAAACACACATTAATCAATGGCTTTACTTTAGGTGGCAAACACACATTAATCAATGGCTTTACTTTAGGTGGCAAAAACACATTAATCAATTGCTTTACTTTAGGTGGCAAACACACATTAATCAATGGCTTTACTTTAGGTGGCAAACACACATTAATCAATGGCTTTACTTTAGGTGGCAAACACACATTAATCAATGGCTTTACTTTAGGTGGCAAACACACATTAATCAATGGCTTTACTTTAGGTGGCAAACACACATTAATCAATGGCTTTACTTTAGGTGGCAAACACACATTAATCAATGGCTTTACTTTAGGTGGCAAACACACATTAATCAATGGCTTTACTTTAGGTGGCAAACACACATTAATCAATGGCTTTACTTTAGGTGGCAAACACACATTAATCAATGGCTTTACCTTAGGTGGCAAACACACATTAATCAATGGCTTTATTTTAGGGTACAACAATATATACAACAAATTGATATTACATGTGCAGCAATTAGAGTATGCCAGTGTATCATTCTCTATATACAGTAATTCAATTTATCAATGATTCAAAATAACTCAGCATTTTGAGGGGAAAATAAAAAGTTAAATAAATATGATGAAAATATTTCTTCGAAATAATAAATGCATTAGTATTTCATCGAAAATATTTCTGAAAAACAAAACAAAAAAGTATATACTGGGGTATTTCATAGAAAATATTTCTTAAAAATTAAAATAAAAATAGTAAATGCATAAAAATGTTCCTAATAAATAAGAATTAGTCAATGAGTATTTCTTAGAAATATTTCAAAAAAGTAGAACAGAAATAGTAAATGCATAGATATTTCATAAAAACATATTTCTAAAAACAAAAAAAACAACACCTACCGTGCACTTCTCTAAACTGGTAGAAAGCCTCAAAGCCATGTCCGTCATAGATATGATTAGATTTAAAAGTTACTCTGAAAAATTCTGCGTCAGAGTCTATAAACTTTGGTGGTCTCGCTCTATTACCACAATATCTTGACATTTTTCTGTCGACTATATGGTTGAAGTTACTGAACTCAACGTAATCACTTAAGGATTCCTCTGAGCACCTGAAACACAACAAAGGACAATGTGAATTTTTGATGAAACTTCCCATCACCATTTTTTACGGGTTTGATCTAATTATAGCTTGCGACAGTTGGTTTCACATTTGAATTTAATTTTCACTTTTTAAATCTTGAGACACAATCATTTGATTAAATTTTTCATGACAATTTTTAACATTCATTTTGCTAGTGATTTACATCTACAATTTAAGTATTTTCTAGTTGTTGTAGTACACTGTACGTCTATGCAAAACACACATGCAAAGAAACATTGAATAATGATGTGCTAATTCTCCATTTGGTGGAATATGTGTCTGAAGTCCTAACTTTGACAAAAAGAGCTATTTCGGGAGGAGAGACAAACTATTGCCTATTTTCGAATGGTTGAAAGTGTTTGCTCACATTTGCAATATGGATCCCACTTACATAGGCCATGCATGAAACATGTTGCTTGAGTAAACTTACATGTAATATGTTCATAGCTGAGAATTAATTTGCCTATTGTGATTATAATGTGATTTTTTGTATATGGAACTATGTCTATTTGTGATTTTTAGAAACATTGTGATTAGTTTTGGTTTAATTTGGCACAGATTACATTCTTAAATATGAGATAAGTTTTCAAGGTGGGGTGGACAAACCCCAGTTGATGAAGGAAGTAGTTTGTGCATGGGTGTCACCGTGGAGACGCATAATATATACTTACCTGCTAGAGTCAGAAATGAAAATAAAATGCCTTCATGAAACAAATAATGATCGATTTGTACAGTTGAATAACAATGATGAAATTAAATTGCCAATAATTTTGGGATGAATTTCTGAAACATTCTAAATTCAATTCGAAATTAGTTTTATGAAATACATGTAATGATTTTATTTTTTACAAATGGATTTTCTCAATAAGGACTGTTCTAGAAATACACCCCTGAACATAAATCCAGCTTAGTATACAATATAAGGAAATCTGGGGAAACCTGCATACATGTATATACAGGGTAAGCCAAAAATAATGAAACACCAAAATCATGATTTTGTATTTTTTGGCCCACTCTGTATATTTTTTAGTTATTTTAGTTACACTGGTTGAGCTCTCTCATGTTTTCCTTGTGAGGCCTGGATGTAGTACCTGACAGTCTGACACTGGGGTAAATTTGACAAGTTTCGGGAGGCCATGCTTCAACAGATTTAAGCATTTTAATGACAAACTAGTATTCTAGCATTTTCTTGCATTGCAAGTTTATATGTTCCTCTCTTTTTACATGATGAAGCTATTAACCAATGTAACATTTGTTGGGGCCACATTTACAGATATATATGCAATATGTTTGTAAAGTCTAGTGCACAGCCCTCTTGGTATGGAGTATACAATTGAATCTGAGTCATTCCTGGGGCTATGCAGTAGACTAAATATCAAGGAGGTGCGGGAAAGGTAAATTTAGTTTATCCAATAGATGGTACTCCAACTCACCCATACTTTTCTCTACAAGTTCACAAATGTCAAAGGTCACAGTATATATCACAACACAATATAGCAAAGCTATCACAAAATCACAAAACAGTGTATACTATTCAACAAGACTAGACAATATTTTAGTTTGTTAAAAATTACTATAATCAATATTTGAAAAAATAGCTAGCCATCAGTCATTAATAATATTAGTTAATTCAATAAATTGCATAAATGTGGGCGCTGCAGGAAAGCTGAAGCACAGCACATATACCAATACTTTAAGCTAAAATTAATATAACCATAACAGAAGTTCCAGAAAGGTGTTTGAATAACATTATTCACACTTGTATGACACCCTGTACTGATCAAATGGCACACAATAAATAATCTTAGGTTATGGGGAGGGAAACCATCAATGTGCCATTTTTAGAAGTTATTATCGAAAACTAAAATACTTTTTAAGAACTTATTAATGTCCTTGTTAAAAGTGTTGAGCATGTAATGAAATACAAGGTGTCCATAAAGTCTCTACACTTTACACAGACTTTGCATTGTTATTGTACAGAGACCTCTGTATATAATGCAGAGCTTTAGTTGAAAACGTTCATCTCCAACATCAACAGTACATGAATGATTTGACTATGACCACATATGGATTCAAGATCTTTTTCCATAAAGGCATGAAGTTAAGCTCTACTATATCTTAGAGAGAAATTTAACACTAAATGAATCTGTCTATTCCAGTGACAGCTACCCCCCCTCTGCGATAAGTACATGTACCTCACTCATAAATATATCTCAAACTAGGACATTCTAAAAATGGCACATTGGAGACATTAGGTTGTTGGGTATTATAGGAAAATTTCAATTCATACTTACTTTGGGGGTATACCCTCTACATCGAAAACTAGGAACGAAATGTGGACCTTTTCACCCTTCCCAGCATAGAAATAATAATGACATTCTGTGTTCCGGGGATAAAAACCCGGATAGTTCGGAGAGGTAAAAGTACCATTTCTTGATTTTTGACTTTTGTATATAAACCCACACACTGCAAGTAGAAGAAAATGTCAACATAAATTGTAACACAAATTTTTAACAGATTCAAACGAAATCGATAAATGTATTGAAATCATAATGCGCTGAACCAAATCCTGAAATCAAAAACTGAAAATTGAATAAAATTATGAAACTGGGACAAACAAATGAGTTTTTAGAATTTTCTAAAATTTTCATAAATGATGCAGTGATGATGTGTTGTTGAAGAAGAGTCAGCAGTACCTGAAAAAACACTACATTTAAAGCAGCTGTAGACACTGACAAACATTAAGTAGAAAACACATAAATGCAACAATCACAGGACATAAAGAAGAGAAAAACAGTGATGGTGGCCTTGGTGGATCAATTAAAGTGGGGGGTTCATTGTTTATCATTGTATCAAACTATTTTTTATTCTTTAGAGGACTGCACCAAAAGTTCCTCAGCATTCCATTGCTTTTAAATGAATCTTCCTAAGTTCCCTATGGATAGATTCAAAACCATTTCAAAGGAATGGTGCTTAACTCATTGCTGACCAACATCGAGATATTTTTGTCTATGACGTCATAATCGTATCTGACCAACCCAAGATATCTCGGGGTGATGTCCAGTAACTGTCACATAATCTGTACCTGAATTATCTTACCAAATATTCTAATAGGGGTCACTAGAGGAACCTGGTAGGGTGCAATTGAAATATTTTGTCATTGGCTTCAAATGGCAACTTAGCGCATAGGGTGTTGATAGAGTCTATTTTATGCTAATGTGAAAACATGCAATTTTGCTTAATTTTCCATCAAAATTGCCAGTCACCAGCAGAAAACCTCCAAAAGTAGCTTTGCCAGCAATGAGTTAATCTTCTTATGAGCCATTCATTCAAGAAGCTTAATATTTGAGGAAAAATAGCAAGGAATTTGTTTTACTGACAATTATAAGGAATTTATTGATTGACACATCTCTCACCTTTAAGAGTTTAACATTGCATCATTGATCCACACGAAGGTTTATTTAAAGAACAACAATCAGAAACGTGTACAGAAGAGCAGATCAACTCATCCTAAACTATTTCAGAGAGGTTTAAATAACATATTGGGAATAAAAATATGAAACAATTTTCCAAGAACTTATTGATCAACCTACTATTAGTTGCAACTTTAATTTTTGAACCAAATAAACTTAAACTTTAAGGCCTCCCTAAATCAATTTGAGATAATTTTGAATGACATCATGTATTTAAAAGTTTCATTGTCACAACATCTATGGATTCTATGGCATTTCATCTAAAATTGTAGGATGAGAAATCTCTCTAAAAACAGATGCATCATTATCATATTTCACATCTCCATGACAACAAATCACAATATTTGCTAGAGAACTCAGAAAATATTGTGTGACTTGAGATGTGATGCAATATGACACCTCTGATATTTGTTTTATTATTCACTGTTATTAGTTTCTCACTCAACAAGGGTGAAAGGATATTAAAAGATGAAGTGTTCAGTTGGACAGGCCCGTAGCCAGGATTTGGCAAGGGGGGTTCACTTTTTGAAAAATTTCAGGGGGGGTTCACTTGTGACAATCTTAATCCAAAAATGGCCAAAATTACTTAAAAAGTGCTCAGAATGGTGAAAAACTGCATGATTTTGAAAGATTTTTTGGCCAGGGGGGGGGGAGTTCGCTCGAAACCCATTGAACCCCCCTGGCTACGGGCCTGTTGGAAATATTTGCATTAAATGAACAGTATAAGCATCACAGGGAAATATCACTGGATATTTAACGTCATGTGATGCATGTTGAACCAATCACAGAATGAGAAACATGACAGCAGGATAATAATGTCTATTATCTCCCCATCAGGCTGTAACTTACAACATATCATCAGCCTCAACATCAAAAACGATAAAAGAAATACGAATAATCTCGTCAGCCAGTCCCCAAAATATGAATTGACACTCCGTGTTACGTGGGTATAATCCTGGGTAATTTGGGGTATGAACGGAGCCATTTTTCGCCTTGGTGGCCCGATAATGAAACTTGCAATCTACAAAGAAATTGAACACTTATGCAATAGACATGTAAAAAATAAAAATATAAAAAGGGGCTCTAAAGTGTCTAATATATTTCTAATGCTAAAATACAACATATTTTTATTTTGTTTAAATAGCCTTCAATTAACATCATAATCAACAGACTTTGTTACAAATCCTCTTTTCAGTAGAGCTAAAACATTGCCTATAAGAAAATACATGTATAAGCAGTACATGTATAAGCAATGCATGTACTGCTTATAATTTGCTTTTACTTTTTTGCATTCAATGTCAGCAATCTTTTTCAAGCCTTGGGATTATCAGGAAAGATGTTTTGTATCAAAATCTATGTGAAGTATAAAGTGAAGTTAACAACGAATTAAGTATGGATTCTTTGAGCTGGAAGGGGGCATTTGGAGTCTAAAAAGGTTACTAACATAAATTAGAATTCTTTTGTTGATTTGTTGTCTAAAAGTCTATATTATATCTAAAACAAAACATAAAAGTTTCAGCAAAATAATCACTTTAACATAAAATTTACAGTGTTTCCAGAAATGATATGCCAAATATGAACAGATACATGTATGTATCACAAGAAAGGAGTGACACCATTTACTGGTACCATAAAAGCGAACAACAAAAAAGTTAAGATATCCAAGTTTTCATGAATTTCATAAACAAATGTATATTTAGAAGATTTGTTTAGACCAAGTTTAAAGTCTATATATGGTTACACAATTGCACAGTGATCGTATTCACATTCCCATATTAGAAGAATGAAATATTATACAATAGATTTTGCTTGATGCATTAGATGCATTCTGTATTTGATCTTTCTTTCAATGGTAACATAAGTTTTATTCATTTTTGGTATTTATTACATTATTTACTCACCCATATGCTGGTCTTGTTCACCTGTCTGTATACCAAAGTCTGTAAACAGAAACAACAACTGTTACTACATTAAACATATTATATTGCCCAGTCCCTTTTACAAGCTAAAAATCCCATTAGGATTTTTTCACCGAGCTGCCTCAGTCTGAGACTTGTATATAGCCAGGTCTGTCTCGCATCACACATATTGCATTTTAAATGTTGCATGGTATAGAAGTGGGGGTATGTGTTAGACATTTAAGTCAATCCTCTTTGTTTTGCTATGCAAAACATAAAATACATGTTCTTGCAGAATATATAAAGCTCAGTTTTCTTAATCCCCCTTTCCTTAACCCTCTTACTTCAAAACACTTGTTTTGCAAAAAGGCAATTTTCATTTTTTAACCAAATATCATTTTGTCCAATAATCGCTCAGCAACATTGATTTAATGACATGATCCTTTTCCCCTTGAACGTAATACTTGTTCACAAAAGTGCTGTAGACCATGACTACGGATCATGGTCATGCTCTTTGTACATGTGATGCTGTTTAATCAGGTGGTGGCACAATACTACTTCCCAGCCTCACATCATCATGTACAAAAGGTATAATCAATTCATGAGACGCAAACCACATGTACCAAATACCAAACGCCAACTGCTGAACCTCAACTGCCACCACAAAAAATTTGGAGACTAGAACAATACGTGGTGGTGACATGACAAACCCCCAAAACCCCATATCCCAAAAATATATAATCTAACACAAAAGAAAAAAATTGTTCACCCTGTACCCACTTTTCAAGAACCATTTACATGAAGAGAACCATTATGAACACCCCGACATTTGAACTCGGAATCCTACAAATACTCGGACTTCAGCAAACATGAGGTTTGGGCAAATTAGGTTCAATTCTTATGCCAGGCATAAGAGTAGATCTGTTCTTATGCCGGGCATAAGAGAAGATCTGTTCTTATGCCCGGCATAAGAGAAGATCTGTTCTTATGCCCGGCATAAGAGAAGATCTGTTCTTATGCCGGGCATAAGAGTAGATCTGTTCTTATGCCGGGCATAAGAGTAGATCTGTTCTTATGCCCGGCATAAGATTAGATCTGGTCTTATGCCCGGCATAAGAGTAGATCTGTTTTTATGCCCGGCATAGGAGTAGATCTGTTCTTTAGTCGGCATATATAGAAGATCTGTCCTTATGCTTTGCAAAAGATAAAGAGTAAATTTGTTCACTTCAAGTTTACACGCTCACAAATTTGTTATATATTTTTACCAGTATTGGTCATTATTTCAATGCTCTGATAGATTTTGTACACCAGTACAGCAGTAAATAACAAAGAAATTTTGTATTTATTTATAACAGTTCACTTTATATTCATTTGATTTAATCAATATATCACTGTATATGTATTCTTTTGAAGTTAGTATAGATAATTATAATGGTGTTTGAATTTTTCGTCAATTAATTCATTGCTAAGTTGATTTTGACTTTAATGTATTGTCAGTAGCACTGTGTTATGGAGCTTCAAATGTAATTTCAATTCTCTGTTGACTTGAAGGATCCATAGATCTGTAGATTTGCAGAGCCTTTACGACAACATTTTACTTGAAGTTGTAATCCAGATGTAACCATCCATATCATGTAGTAGCCATCCTTAGCTCATAGTCACAGGAGGAATTTTAGGCTTATTCATATAAAGTCCCTTTCCAAGTGATTTCCAAATTGATTGAATTAGATGCTGTGGAGTCAGGACATCAAATGGTAGATGTAATCAATGTAATTGACTGTTCATAGTACAATAATTGGTATGCACATTGTACATATACATGCACTGTGTAGCCAGTGTGCAGCACAGCAAAAGTTTCCTTTGTTTATGTTGGTATTACCATTTACCATGGTCCTCAGAATGTAAACACCAATATCGGTCCATCCATGTGAAGAGGGTGTACTAGCCTATTGCCTATAGTCGCTACAGTCACAAAGAACAACATGATGATGGAACGGAACAGTTTAGGCCCAGATCTGCAGAGTCATATGGTGTAGGGAGCCAAGGGGTAAGTACATTTTCAGCAACTGCCTAAATTGCAATACATCTGTTGTGTCTGTAGTGTTGGCACCTTTCTGCTTGTCCAACATTCTGAAAATGACAAACTAATTTTCAGCAATGTACAATGTAGGCCTATAGATCTAGTCACAAAACGTCTGTTCCTATCCTTGTCATATGAATTCAAAATGAAATTTGTGTTAGGCTATCCTAATCTTCATACTGTATTACTGAGAGACGGAGACTTAATTTTGTAATGTTGTGCTCCAAAGACAGTCATGAATTTATTTTCAGCTTTGATATTAAATTGGCATGTTTGAGGATTGATTTACAAATTACATTATTTTAAATATTTTCTACTTCTACACAGGCTTATTACTTGTTTGAAATCAAAAACAATCATGAAAACATACCCAGAATTCTGCAACAAATTTGTTCCAAATTACATCAGCCAGTTGATCTTTTGCTTCTTCCATTTTTCTGTGCTGTCTGCTAAATATTTTGACCTTGGTTGCCATGACACATGTTTGTTTATATGTTTGTTTGATGACATCAGATTCTAAGAATTCTCTATCTTGAACTTTCTCTGCTTGTCATATGGTTGGTTGCCATGACACAAGAAGATTTGTTTACATTGACCTGGCTTTGACCCTGTTTGTTTGATGAGTCATAATTCATAATTCATCAGAAGACATCTAGGCTTAGTCTAGCTCACACACTGACAGACTGACACACAGCCTTCACAGAAAATCTTTGTTGGAAAAGTGTCCTAGGCAATTGATTTGAATACTTGTAGATCTTTCTTTGGCAGATTGATATGTAAGTACATGTATATTATTGAAATAATGTTCATATTTTATAAATGCTCAAATAATTTTAAATGAAATTCATAGAAAACAGAGAGATGAAATGTGAATGTTTCACCATTTTTCCTCAAATGGAACAAGTGACTTGACTATGATTTCAGATTTGGCTTTGATTTGTCATTTGAGTTATTTCTAAATTAGAGATGATGTTCATTAGTTTATTGAGTTCAATACAAATGTGGGTTTATTTCTAGGGGGGAGTAGGTGGTAAAGCAAGAGTTAATAATTGGTCATATTTAATTTTTTCTTATGTAAATACTTTTTCCTCTAAATTTGAAAGTGTATGTAATGAGTCTACATTAAGAGAAATGGTCCTATCACCGCATGGGTAGGGGAAATGGTCCTAATCATCGCACAATTGTCCTAAATAGCTAAAATATGCACCCACCATCTTTTAAACCAGTGTTACGAAAAACAGTTCTAACACCATTACTCCCAATCTTCATGATTTATTCAATTTAAAGGTGTTATAACCAAATGCCATGACGCACATTGTAAAGTTTTCCTGCGTCAATGTGTATCTATCTGCATGTAACCTTTGGAGACAATGTAAACGCAACTAAATTGATAGACAAATTAGCGATCAAATCAAAAAAAAGTTAAGGACCGGTCTTTTTCCTCATAGGTTTACATGTTAAACCCCATGTCTGTTTGATTACTCTTATTTTCAAAGCCTGAAACGAAAGAAAAACTGATAATGTAAATGGAAATGTACCTTGACTCTATTCTCTATATTTCAGAAAATTTTCAATTCAATCTCCGTTTCAATAAGTCAAAAATTGATGTCAAATTTGAGGAATTTAATAAAAATGGCAGGACCAATGTAAACCAATTGGAAGGGGTTGGGTTGCCAAGCCAAAAGTCATATGAGAAAATATCCATCCATACAATTGCTCTCAAAAATAAAATTTAAATAGACAATTGAATTTGCTAACTTGTCCACAACAAAAAATTGATTTGTTTCTCCAGGTTTTACAAAGTTATGAATCTCAAAATTCAAAATCATTTCTCAATATAAACCTCCCATTGAAATAACACAGGGGTCAAAAATGAGTTGTCAAAAATATGTTGATGCTCTATATCTGTAATTCTCACAAAGTAAGCTTAAAGCAGATATGAAATGGTATTTTTAACCTAAAGGAATCAATATAATTTTTTGATAAATGTATTTGGACATGTTTTTTCATCAGTATAGTGTGAAAACTATTTCACTCTAACGATCTTTATAGCAGCTTAATAAGCAATATTCAAATTGGTTGTGACGTTATTGGCCCCCACGTGATCTCTCACTGGTCCCCACGTGGCCCATTTTGGTCCATTAGATCATAACGTCATAATGCCAAAATGTATTGTTATTTGTTTACACAACAATCCTATGGTTGCCGTGACGTTATGATTTCTAAGGAACCAATAAACTAAAGCTATATTCTGTATATGACGTCAATAATCACGTGGGGGCCAATTTGTTTGATCAGTTAGTCTAATTTCGTTATCTATGAGCGTTAGCAGTTATCTAACATTTATTTTATAATGGCTATCGCAAGAACTCTACGTTTGGCTTACAATGGAGAAAACCGCATTTTTGTAGTTGCAAGTTGAGAAAAGCTATTTCAGTTGTCCTTTAACACCAAACATGCAGAAAGTAAAACAATTTGCAATTGTCTACTCAGAAATTATCTTGAAGGTACAGCTGGAAAGAAACATTTTGGTAAAAAATTGCTATACCCTGATACCTGCACATATTATTTTCTGGTACAAAATAAAGTATGAAGGCATGTGTCAATTTCCTTGCTTTTTTCAGGAAAGTATCATTACATTGTCTTCTTTTAAAATGTCTGCATGGTAGGAGTTCAATGGGAACTCCAGGAAATTCTGATATTTCACACTTTCTATTTTTCCAAATTTTCTTTTAAAGTTTTCTGACAACACAGGAGCTACCATTGACCTGTTTCCAGGTTTACTAAAAGTAGACAGTGTAATGAAACTTTCCTGAAAAAAGCAAGGAAATACACACATGCCTTCATATTTAATTATGTACCAGAAAATAACATGTGCAGGCGGTATAGCAGTTTTTTACCAAAATGTTACTTTCCAGCCTGCCTTAATAATTAATGTTTTACCGAATATATACTGTAAAAC